GGCTGGCATTGCCAAGCTCAGCCAAGTGCTGTTCCAACCATGTCAACCTTCTAAGCTCAACTTCCATATATATTTGATCAGCTGTGTCTCCTCTAAATAACAAATAAAACTGTGTGCGGTGAATTATTGAAACATGGCACAAATGCCATAACATGATAATCTGTTTTCTCTGATCTTCAAAAATTTGGTGCCAGGGCATTGGAGACTGATCCATTGCATCTGTATCGGCCTCCGTAGCCTCACTTGTCTCCAGTTCTAACACCTAACACAAACACAAACAAGTTGAGGAGAGTGTGAAGTCCTTACTTGTCATATCAGTTTGTACAAGTCAAGACCAATTAAAAGTGATACGTGGTAGCATCCGCCAATGCTATTTATCACAATCAAAATTAATTTATAATGTTAGGAATCCACTGTATTCTCTGCATTCGGCTGTTATTAACAAAAAAAACAAAGACAAATCAAATCCTTCACTAATATATATTATCTAAATCATGGTAATCTACTCTGTCAAGCAGGACAGAGAGAGAGTCCAGATTACTGTGCTACCAGTACAACTTGGCCCTGGCTAAAACCTCTTCACTCAACAAATTCTGTCAAAGTTCCAGCTCGAGTTTGATTTGCCCAATATTCAAAATGGGTAAGCTATTAATTTTTGAAGTATTTACATTCAAAGACAGTTGATATGTTCGATTAGATTTAATTAATTATATTGTTTTTAAATTTATAAATACATATGTGTTTATTTTTATGTTTATAGTTTACATTATACATGTATATTCATATATATATATGTATATATATATAGCTGTGGTAATTCGATTTCCCAAACTAATAAAAAACTATCCAATAAAACTATCTTTCTGAATTCAAACTAAAAATTATTCGAGGTGGGATTCCACCCGAGGGGAGAGCTATCTCTTTTCTGAACTTAATCTAATCTAGTTGAACCTAAATGTTCTTCATACGAAGTGATCAGCTTTAAAATGATCAAACAAAGCTTCAAGTCAAATGCAGATTCTTTAGTATTCTATGAAGTCGAGCTTGAATACTCAACCATTCAGCTCAACCTAATTTTTTATTTTCACTTTTAAATCCTAATCACTAGTGGAAGGTTGTAGCATCACTAGATTATTCAAGGCCGAGCAACAATAGCTTGTAATAAGGATCATCAAGAGTCAAATTACTGAAAACATTTAAGTAATAATTAAGAAATAATCAAACTGAATGGTGAAAATGCTTCTCACCTGGCAAACTAGAAGTTGCTTTTGGTATTGAAGTTTTGCCACCCTCTCCTTTAACTCAGTAACATAAGCTCTAATGCTTCTTATATTCTCCTCGGCTGCATTCTTAAACATTCGTTGCATTTTTTTCACATTAACTGAGTTTGCGTGCCGTGAGGCTGGAGTTCCCTCCCTTGATGAACTGCAGGTGCGATTATCATCACTTTTTGGTGGAGTAGCTCTCAATGACTCGGGGCCAGAAGAAACCATGTTATTGTGCTCAGGGACTCTGTTCTCTGTTTCACATTCCATTACCTTCCGAGAAGATGATAGAGG